ACATTAAAATGGAATTCAATAATATTCAAAAATGTATTGAAATCAACTAAATGTATTGAATGTATTCTAAAATGTATTAATTTGTCCAAGATTATCATAAGACATTAACAAAATGCATCAGTGATTCATATTTTCCTTCAGCTTTCTGAAGAGGCAACGCAGGAATGCCCTTCTCTGTGTTTGCACGTTTTGTCTACCACTTTATGCTAATTATGCTAATAATGATAACCGTCTTCTGGTAGATGGAAAGGCTTTCCCAAAAACCTTCTCGGTTAAATGTTAACTACAGAGTAGTCTACCTGGCAGAATGATATCATGATTATTTGCATCAATTCAGTGGCTATCTGTTTAGCAAGCTCTGCAATCACATGTGCTACACGCTAACCAAACACGTGTCTTACTGGTGCACAGTTTTAATTAAAGGGTATCTACAACCAAAAATTTAAATGTTAGATTTTTCCCAGACCTCAAAAGTGGTCTCCTGATGTAGTTTAAGCATTGTTGTGGACTTAGAACATCCAATTTGGTTGTTTTTCTGTTAAACAAGTGTTATTTCGAGTAAAAACCAGAGAAAAATTAAACTGGAGAAAATGGATTTAGGCAACAACAAAACTACTCCTCAGCCACTGTCAACAGCCATCAGGCCACTGGAGCTGAAGTGGCTGGCTGCTAGGGGAATCAGACCAATGAATGCTCAGATAGCCAGTAGGAGACCGGACCCTTGTGGTGCTGGTGAACAACATGGCCTTGTTAGTGCACCACCTCTAGTCTGATGTGCTGAATTTCCGAACACCCTGACCACACCGGCCATCATACGCATGTTGATTTTGTCCATCTACACCAGATGTGATCATGACATGCAGGTTGACATACCAAAACAGACTATGAATCAATTATATTAATTTGGGGGCAGGTCGAAACACACATGAAACATTAATGGACATTTAGCTAGCTAGCTGTTGCTAGCTAAGTTTATCCTGGGAGATGAACATTGGATTGTTATTTTACCTGACATGCCTATGGTACAGTGGAGGCTGGTGGGAGGAGCTATAGGACGGGCTCATTATAATGGCTGAAATGGAATTTATGGAACGGAGTCAAACATGTGGTTTCCATATGTTGATATGTTTGATACCGTTCCATTTATAACATTTCAGCCATTACAATGAGCCTGTCCTCGTATAGCTCCTCCCACCAGCCTCCACTGCTATTGTCTTATATCTTTTTCCTGGTTCTTTGCAGAATGTTGACACGGAGTCATACAAAATTGTGTGTTTCTCTACTCCAATGATTAATCCACAGATAAAAGGGGGAACCTAGTTCGTTTTTAGTTAGCTTTGATTAATCTCTCCTGGGTTTGTATGCTCGTGAAAACCAATGATATGGGATAGGCGGGACTTGCAGCGCGTTGCGCTTCTCAAATAGAAGCAAGTTCTATTTTAGTGTGGCCGGTTTGGTTTCCCTGTAAGGACGTCTCATGGGTTATGGTCTAGACAAGATGCCATGACCACAACATAGGTTTGCCTCAGCAAGCATATCCTTCATGGTCTTACTCAATGTTGAGGGCAACTAGTCTAACTTACAGTCCATAGGTTTGCCTCTCCCTGGGCATTGCATAATTTCCATTGCCTGATATGGTATGGTGATAAATTGTGCCTGGTTCCCTTTTGTTAGGCTTTATGTAACTGATTGTGTAACTGAGCCCCCAATTGTTCCCTTGTCATAGAGAATAATATTTGTTCTCAAGAAAAAAGGGTGTGCCCCTTGCCCTCTTTCGTAGACTATGCATTTTGAAAGAAACGTGCACACTTGATCTGTGTGTGAATCAGGTCATTTATCTGTACATGTCAGATGTTTCCCTCTGGAGATATCCTGCTCCCTCAGGCACAGCACTGAGCTGGGTCCTAGTAACCTTATGCCTCCATCTCACATTCAGGTTTCAATAGCCTCATTTCCAGTATGGTGCCATTTCTGTGCTCACTGGCACCAGATGGGTTTGAAGCCATATTTTACAGATGTTGATCCACTTTCGTATGTTTGGACGTGACTAATGAAGCTTTTTTTGTATAAATGGTAGTCTAGGTTATTATTATTAGGATTGTATATTTTATAGGGACATCTCTGTCCCCACCATCCTTGCTAGAATCACACGAAGGCCCACAGAGATTTAATACCATTTTTATTTCTTAAAGGAAACAAAACATTTTAACAAAACAATCAAGAAATCCATAGTAGCTTTCGTCGTTGCACCTCAAATGTTTTTCTGTACAGCAGACTTTTACGAAAAACACTGAAAAAAAAAAAAAAAAGCACAAATCCCCCAAACTGCCTTCGCTCCACCTGGATGTTCCCAAAGGACCAGTCTGTTAGTTAGACGTGTTGGAGTCATGGGCAGACACCCAGTTCAAATCAGTCGGCATGCTCCAATTCCGTGCACATTTTTTTAACTTTAACGTTACGTGGTGTCTACATCAGCTCCGATTAGGTTAGTTGTTTTCCTGCCCGTAAAAGTGTAAAAAGCTGCAGAGGCCAAAACAGACTCATAACCACCACTGAAACAACTTGGTTAAAGGTTGGTGTTATAATATCACTACACTGGTCATGAAGTTATGGAGACAACGGTTTCTCTTACCCACCTTCAGACTGGACTTGGCGATTGAAGTGATTGAGATGCTGTTTGTTTTACACGCCGCTGAATGCGGTACATGGGTAAAATAATGGTTATGAATGGTCATTAACCCACACCGGGCAATGAGAAAGATGATCTCCTGAACAAGTCTTTACATAGTGATGATTTGGCAAAGTACAGTTTCCTGACACACCGTGACTGGTGTCACAGCTACTTTAATATACAGCTCGGTGTTGAGCAGTATTGGCCTATTCTCCTTTAAAACAAGAATGATAGATCTAGATCTTTCCTATGCATTGTTGAGGTCAACAAAATAGATATTATGATACACATCACTTTTCTTATGTTAAATTCATCCTCTTAGTAATTGGTTTCATTACAAAATATTTGGAATATAGAAAATACCTCCTAAAATGTTATTTGGAGCTTTAATGGATTGTCGTTAAAATGGGGTATATAACCCTAATACTGTGGACTATAAACAAATCACTTTTCTTACTCAGAGAACATAAAAATATATAACAGTGTCTGTGATGGGCAGCTCAATTTAAATGCTCTATGCTTTTACTCTTTTTCCAATGTTACTCGTTTCTCGTCAGCAGTGCCAGGTAATTTGCGAATAGTGCACACACACACTCACTGACACAAAGCGATGTCTGGATTGGAACATTAGGTAAACTGAAAGAGACAGAAATAGGTAGTTTGTGAACATCATGGCTTTAAGAATGAGGAATGCATTGACTCTCGGAAAGAGCACAGAAAAATGTAGTATGCAGCAGATAGCATGCTCGATTGTCATACAGCAAAGGTCAGTGATTTTGGTTTGTAGTAATACATATTTTCTCTGTCTCGCCGTGCTTATACATTCAGACTGTTGGCTGTTTAATTTATCCGGTGTTTGTCTATGTGTCATGTTCAGTGTTTCCTTGACAGAAAGAGAATGACTTGATTTACTTATTAATAAATCCACCCTCCTATCGCATTAAATTGTCTAAAAAGGTGGTATTTATCATGGTGAAGACTGCACTTATCCCCCTAATGCCGACTGGAATAGCAGTCATCGTTCAGGATTGTTAATTGCCTGGTAAGGATTCCAGTTCTTCCGAGGTTTACAGTGTGACTGGCGCAATAATTATGATCCACCAGAACCATGTATTTTAGAGAGTTGGGCCATTGAGGTTTCTGCATTTTGATGACACTACAACATTCTATGGCAGCCATGTTAGCACCCCATTCACATTACATGGGGAATATTTAAAACAATGCTATGTAACTAAATGTCTAGAATTAGAACAATATTAAAATGTCAAAAAAAGGTGGCCCAACTCCCTAAAGGCATGGCTCTGATATCCATCCACTTTTCACAAAACATCAAGTAAACGTCACTTGGCTCCTCACCCTTCGGAGGTCGTCAAGGCTATCGGGGCTCTACATTAACACTTGTCCGGGACAAGTAAAAAAAAAAAAAAAAACTTTAAAAAAAAGGTTCGGCAAGCAGAATATCGATTTAAGTTGTCCGAATGGACAAGTAAAAAAATGATCACACAGAAATCACTATCAAAACAAGTGTCCTCCGGATGCAATGTTTTGCGCACTGTTCGCATCGGAGTAGAATTGTATTGCATTGACAGGCACGAGCGTGTGCACATGTTTTTTTTTTACCCAGTTATAGCTAATTTTTTGGTCAGCAAACAGAGCATGGTCATTAAAATCCTGGAAAAGGTCATGGTGTATGAACCACCTGTGTGTGTGCCAGTGTGAGTGGGCCCGAGGAGAGACAGACATTGTAGCAGCAGGTAACCTGTAATAATGAGACAACAGACTAACTATATAGCCAATTCAAAACATCTTGTTTAGCCTGGCTAGTTCTCTGTAGCTAACAATTCAGCTTTTAGCATGCATTAAATGTCATTGTCATGTCCGATGTCCTAAAAAATAAAAATAAAACACCAGCACTCCAGTGCGCAATTGATGAACGGGTGCATTATTAAAACAATGCTACATACTCCTGTTGTAAAACCTCCTCTCAAGCGCTCAAAATTGGGGGTTGAGAAATACATCTGACAGTTGGAGAGCTGGGATTCCCCTCTATTCAACACTGGCCATGTAATTCTGACAACGTTAAAAATATTCTCACAGGATGTCAATAGATATCCCCTGAAATCTGAATATTTTAGCCTTACAAGGTTATAGATAAATGTGTATTTGTTAGTTACCTTGCTTTGAAGTAGCCTACCTTATTCAATTAAATCAGGGATCAAATGGCTACGGGAATTATTTAATGAAGACAAAGTATTTGGTTGTAGTTGTAACGCTGCAATATTTTATAGGCCAAGGGTGGCCAACCATCCTCCAGGAGAACCTTAAATGGGCAGTGTTGTATTTTGAGACAGGCAAAGAAGCCTATAGGCAGATGGTATCCTACACGTTTATCTGATTCTCTATTTTATTTTGTAAAGTGGTTCCTTGCATCATACAATGATGTAAAAATGTTGTTGCAGACCATTTTTTGGGGGGGGACACGTGACTTGAGCTTTCGGACAAGTAAGAAAATCTGTCCTACTCGTCCGAAGGACAAGGGACTTAAAGTTAATGTCAAGCCCTGACAATGTGAGGAAAACAGCAGAGTAAAATCTTTAGACTAGTTGCTCTATCGCAAAGGTGTTCATGGACCCAAAGGATGCAGCCTGGCACAGGACTGGTAATAAGGACCCTTTTCAGCAAAGTCCCTACGTCTCTTCTCTCTAGAACAGGAAGGGTGTCCATTAGGGGTGAATCAGTAGGATCGGATAAGGTCGGGGCTGTCGGGTGGGTCATGTTTAGGAAGACGGGCCAAGGTTAGGCTGACCCTCAAGGCCGCTCCAGGAACCAAATCTCGTTCTGTCGGTTCGCCGCCGCAGGGTTGGTGTAGCCGGCCACGATGAATGAGTCATTCACGTGCGTGGCGGGGGAGTCGAGCATTTCCGCCATGACGCTGATCTCATTGATGATGGTGACCTCGTTTGTGGCCCCAGTGAAGGACCTGGAGGGAGAAAGGGGCACACAGGAATCGAATGAGCTTTGATTCAATTAAGGGAGGTATGTGTTTGCAGGTGCAGGTCTAACACTGGAGGTATTCTAACTTCCTTACTCTCCTTCTGCTGTGGAAATTCCTGAGGCTTTTGAACAGACTCTGCTTTGAGATTGTCCAATACAATATGCTATGAAAGTGAATGTCACAATAGGCTAAATGAAAACAAAACTGCAGCCACTGTAATTTTTGGAAGCATGATGCAACGATATCGTTGCTAGCATAAATGTATTGGGACTGGTGGCCGACTGAAATAATGTAATTAACTTTAGCTAGATAGCCTCGTGACTGACTTGATGTTTGTGTCCAATCAAGTAGCTTGCTAGTTACATACAGTTGAAGTCGGAAGTTTACATACACCTTCGCCACATACATTTAAACTCAGTTTTTCACAATTCCTGACATTTAATCCTAGTAAATATTCCCTGTTTTAGGTCAGATAGGATCACCACTTTATTTTATAATAATAATAATAATATAATAATATAATATAATAATAATAATAATAATATAATAATAATATGCCATTTAGCAGACGCTTTTATCCAAAGCGACTTACAGTCATGTGTGCATACATTTTTGTGTATGGGTGGTCCCGGGGATCGAACCCACTACCTTGGCGTTACAAGCGCCGCGCTCTACCAGCTGAGCTACAGAGGACCATTTTAAGAACGTGAAATGCCAGAATAATAGTAGAGAGTGATTTATTTCAGCTTTTATTTCTTTCATCACATTCCCAGTGGGTCAGAAGTTTACATACATTCAATTAGTAGCATTGCCTTTAAATTGTTTAATTTGGGTCAAAAGTTTCAAAGTAGCCTTCCACAAGCTTCCCACAATAAGTTGGGTGAATTTTGGCCCATTCCTCCTGACAGAGCTGGTGTAACTGAGTCAGGTTTGTAGGCCTCCTTGCTCGCACACACTTTTTCAGTTCTGCCCACAAATGTTCTATAGGATTGAGGTCAGGGCTTTGTGATGGCCACTCCAATACCTTGACTGTTGTCCTTAAGCCATTTTGCCACAACTTTGGAAGTATGCTTGGGGTCACTGTCCATTTGGAAGACCCATTTGCGACCAAGCTTTAACTTCCTGACTGATGTCTTGAGATGTTGCTTCAATATATCCACATAATTTTCATTCCTCATGATGCCATCTATTTTGTGAAGTGCACCAGTCCCTCCTGCAGCAAAGCACCCCCACAGCATGATGCTGCCACCCTTGTGCTTCACGGTTGGGATGGTGTTCTTCGGCTTGCAAGCTACCCCCTTTTTCCTCCAAACATAACGATGGTCATTATGGCCAAACAGTTCTATTTTTTTTTCATCACACCAGAGGACATTTCTCCAAAAAGTACAATATTTGTCCCAATGTGCAGTTGCAAACCGTAGTCTGGCTTTTTTATGGCGGTTTTGGAGCAGTGGCTTCTTCCTTGCTGAGCGGCCTTTCAGGTTATGTCGATATAGGACTCGTTTTACTGTGGATATAGATACTTTTATACCGGTTTCCTTCAGCATCTTCACAAGGTCCTTTGCTGTTGTTCTGGGATGTATTTGCACTTTTTGCACCAAAGTACGTTCATCTCTAGGAGACAGAACGCGTCTCCTTCCTGAGCGGTATGACTGCTGTGTGGTCCCATGGTGTTTATACTTGCGTACTATTTGGTTGTACAGATGAACGTGGTACCTTCAGGCATTTGGAAATTGCTCCCAAGGATGAACCAGACTTGTGGAGGTCTACAATTTGTTTTCTGAGGTCTTGGCTGATTTCTTTAGATTTTCCCATGATGTCAAGCAAAGAGGCACTGAGTTTGAAGGTAGCCCTTGAAATACATCCACAGGTACACCACCAATTGACTCAAATGATGTCAATTAGCCATTATCAGAAGCTTCTAAAGCCATGACATCATTTTCTGGAATTTTCCAAGCTGTTTAAAGGCACAGTCAACTTAGTGTATGTAAACTTCTGACCCACTGGAATTGTGATACAGTGAATTAAGTTAAATAATCTGTCTGTAAATTGTTGGAAAAATTACTTGTGTCATGCACAAAGTAGATGTCCTAACCGACTTGCCAAAACTATAGTTTGTTAACAAGAAATTTGTGGAGTGGTTGAAAAACAAGTTTTAAATGACTCCAACCTAAGTGTATGTAAACTTCCGACTTCAACTGTATGTGAGATTTGGTTCCGGGTTACGAGAACCAGCAAGCTAACTTCTTGACTAACTGCAGGCAGAAAATATTTGAAATTCACTCACGCTTTGCTAGAAGCTGGGAACTTGTTTATGCCTCAAACTGACAGTGGCTCCAGTAAGGATTACAATTTGAAGTTTATAATGCATCTACTTTCATATTGTATTGCCATAAAATTGAGCAAGCAGCACAAGACAATTCCAAACTCCTACCTTGTGTAGACAATGGTGGCAGGCCATTCCTCAATGCTTATTTCAGTGTCAGAAGGCAGGGGTGGCTGGGCTTGATATTCTGTGGGCAGGTAGTAGGCCACAGTGACGTCCCTGGACAAGACGGAGTGGTTCTCGTCCGTGCGGATCACAGTCAGGATAGGGATAGTCATACCCAGATAGCTACCTAAGGACAGGACATGGACAACCGACAGTCAGGAGTCTGCAGTAGATCTGGCTAAACATGGATGACGTTAGAAGAATATAGTCTCAATGACTCCTGTGAAGGCTGCTTTGGTCTCACCTGAGGAGTTCTGCTGGCAGATGTATCTCATGAGCTTCATGAAGCCGTAACAGATGCTCTGCTCGTAGGTGTCCTCGCGAACCGTGAAGCACGCCCAGTGGGCCTTCTCATAGTGTCTCTTCTCATAGAGCACGTCCCCACACTGTGTACACACACACACACACACACACAAACTGGGTCACTGCCTATGCGTTTCATAAAGTCCAATGCAGTGTAACAGCAACACGTTGTTTCAGCGTCCTATTGGATTCAGTCAGTAGCTAGGGTTTCCATCCAATTTGCGACAGATTTTCATGCGAATATTCTCAAATCTGCATAAAATAATATGCGCATTTTCCCACCAGAGATGCGATTCCATCAAACTGACTTATTGGTGATGACGTAGAGCACATAAAAATTACTTTTACTGTTAAATTCCCCGAAAGGAAAAATACTAGTTAAATGGGTTTCCATCCCATTTTAAACTCTACTGATGGTTTTGTCACAAAAACTATTGCGTTATATAGCAAAATGTGCCCACTCTTATTTTTGTCAAACAGCAGCCAAGCATCGAGCATCATGTCACCAGAATAAGACCCTCAATACTTATTGGAAAGGAGCATCAAGCTTATCACGTGCACTTCCACCATCATGTGAAGTAAATAACTTACTTCATCTGTAGCCTAATAAACGGCATGCTTTCCTGAGTCGTAGTGGGAGGACCACACACACACCATATCATCTCAGTATTTGCGCATAAAAGGGGTTTCCACCGCCATTTCTCGCATAATTCATTTTAAAATCGACAAAAACATCCCACCATGTCGAATGAACAAATGTCGGCATTTATGCAATTGTACCGAAACTTCCTGTTTCCATCACAGCTGTCGTGATTTTTATTTTTATGGTATGACTTAACTCGCATGAAAACTGTGGATAGAAACATGGCCACTGACAACATTTGGTAACTGTGTATACCAACAGATGTACCGTGAGGAGCCAGCATGGTGATCATGCTCCTAGTATCGGAAGTGTTGATTGACACAGATAAAGATTACACAGTGTTGATTGACACAGACATGAAAGATTACAGTGTTGACAGATATTAAAATAACCTCTCCTTTGTTTAACCCTACTCTCCGGCCAAGCCCATCAGACCCTTTTATTTATACTTTCCCCATGTGACTAAGAGGCTTATTGAAATTGGCTGAGGGGAATGCCGCTTCCCCCGTCCAAAATAAAATGGCAATCCTCGTCTCTTATCAGCTTTCATCAGATTGTAAACACACCTGGTCAGCATTTGCGTCACGTCAACAGAAACATGGCGGTTATTGACAGTGATAGTAGAAATGCGTTGGTGCTGCGACCAGGATTTTAAACGTGATAAACCACAAAAGTGGTGTTCAGTCCTTGGGGAACACACGGAGCGTAATCAGTTCTCAGATGACAGAATTAAAGTTGCCATTATTTTATTCATCCCTTCGTGTATAGACGGAGCGGGAAGGCTTAATTTTGGTTCAATATGAAAAGTACCCTCGCAGTATTGTGATCTGCCTCTGGACTCAGTGTTGACGTATCAGCCTCAAAGTGCCAGAGCCCACCCACACTGATGACTACCCCACCTTTCCACTACCTTCACAGCACAGTAGCTTTACAACTGTTTTGAATCAAGATCAGATGGACTTACATGGTATGGAGACAAGTCAGACAAATCAGACGCAGAAGGAAACTAGGAGAGCAAATTAACAATATCTGGCATATTGTGCGCTCTCAGCGCATTAACCTAATCTCATTTCAAAAGGGTGTGCTCGAGGGTAAGACACGGACAGCCTTGCTGCAAATCTACAGAGTACTTTCTCCTTAAAACAGAATCACGATTATCACTATCAAATGGGTATCACAGGAACCAAATGGTGTGACTTCTTTGTGGTATGCAACGATGACTATCACCTGGAGAGAATAAACTTTGATGCAGACAAGTGGGAAAAGATGAAGTGCAAACTGGGCGATTTCTTTTCCCAGCATTTCATGCTAGCCCTATACAAGTAAAAAGGACAGCTACGCAGGATGAATTTATCATAGTTTATTGTTAGAGTACAAACATTTATGAATTGTTTATATGTGTTACAATTAATAGGCTAGACAACTAAACAAAATACATTTTCATCTTTCTACATTATTTTACGTACACATTTATAAAATGTACCTCTTCTAGATAATCCCTAGCCCAAGATGTACTCTCAAGGAGCCTGCCGTTACTCCTGAAGGTCCAAAGGATCTTCAGAGGTAGACTGGCTCTGGAAGCAACAAAAAGACAAATACTCCATCTAAAAATGAATCGATTCTAAATTGTGATACAGTTCTAGAAACAAAGCCCTTCACTTTCAAATAATTTCATAAATGCTAAATATACACATACTTTTTTAAAACCGGTTATCCCAGTTTCAGCCGACAGTATTTTTCAGCGACAATACGTTTCTGCCGGCCTTCTTCCATTACACACAGGTGTTCGGCGCATGCTAGATAGCTAATTAGCACAGGTGGTCCCTCCCTCTTTCATAAACACACGTTGTAACATGGCGATATGGCTATGTGGGAACACTATAAAAAGGTGTGTAACAATGTAACCTTTTCTTTAAAATGATCTGTCGCTGATAAGATAGATAAGGTCCTTATGCTTCCAAAACCGTACTGCAAGCGATGCGTGATCTTTACACATGTGCATCTTGCGCTGTGGACAATAAAAGGCCACTAACATGTGCAGTTTTGTCAAACAACACAATGCCACATGTCAAGTTGAGGGCGCGTGCAATTGGCATGCTGACTGCAGGAATGTCCATCAGAGCTTTTGCCAGAGAATTGAATGCTCATTTCTCTACCATAAGCCACCTCCAATGTCGTTTTAAAGAATATGCCAGTACGTCCAACCGGCCTCACAAACGCAAACCACGTGTATGGCGTTGTGTGGGCCAGCGGTTTGCTGATGTCAACATTGTGAACAGAGTGCCCCATGGTGGCGGTGGGGTTATGGTATAGGCAGACATAAGCTACGGACAATGAACACAATTGCATTTTATCGATGGCAATTTGAATGCACAAAAATGACGAGATCCTGAGGCCCATTGTGAGGCCCATTTCTTTAAGGTATCTTTGACCAACAGATGCATATCTGTATTCCCAGTCATGTGAAATCCATAGTCGGGCCTACTGAATTTATTTCAATTGACCGAATTCCTTATATGAACTGTAACTCAGTAAAATCAATTAAATTGTTGTATTTATATTTTTGTTCAATATAGTTAGTGTTTCTGAGTTAAGCACTTCTGAGCTAGGCCTTTGCACATGCATTTCAGTATTACTCTGGTACATGGGAAAGTGTTCCTGAAACAGAGGGGCATCAGCTCATTAACAGTTCCCCTTGAAGGCCAAACTGAAAGGGATCCTAGCATGACATAAAAAAGGTAGTTCATGCAGGTGACACATATCCTACTGACCGTGGACTGTGATGCATTGAAACAAACAGCTAACGCCAGTTTAAGGAAGTCTGTCTAACACAGCACAGAAAGAGGAAGCACTGACCCATTAGGGGTTTATGTGCTAAAGCCACGTCTAAGTGTGTTAATCTGTTTTGTTTAAGCGCTGTACCTGACGCCGTGTAACCATGGTTTCTGCTGTCGGCTGTAAAGGCAGAAAAACAGCTTTTAGAGTACTGTAGTCCCTACATCCAGTGTAAAAATATGATTTTCTTGTTGTCACACTAGAAGCGTTGAAGGAGGAACTGGTTTGCCTGAGGTGTTTCAATTTCCTCAGCCTGACGAGCGACCTCTTTGCGTGCCTCTTCAAGCTGCTCCGCCACAGGCAGAGGATTCTGATCGTAATGGATGGTTAGGGTGTGGTACGTTGGCCTCCACCTCATCGGCAGAACTGTAAGGTGAAAAGGCAAAAATGCTTTTGACAAGCCCAGCTACATGCTTTTAAAATGAATACTATCAGCTCTACATCTTCTATTCCAAATACAGGCCATGCAAATTCATACTTTGAGTTCCTTTTCTGTCAGTGAAACGCTGACAGAAAAACTGCATTAACTTGCATGGCCTATATTCAGAGAAGACAGTGCAGAAACTAAGTATTCATTGTGAAATATTGTAATTGGGAGCTAGTGACAGGTTAAACCAAATAATGCAAACCCACAAAAAACCTTAAAGTGACTGAAGTTCTGATAGCAAGTCTATACCTGAGCAAGATTTGGCAAGCCATGTTCTCAGCTTGAGGGTCCTCATCCAGTGGACCTCATCCAGATATAAGGTTAGGTTACATAAAATCGGTTATGAACTATTGAAAATGACAGAACAGATACATGTAATAATAGACTACCTTAGCTCATCTGGCTCCTCAGCAGGTGCTCCCTCTCCATGACAGGCAGTCTCACTGTAACACAGAAAAATACGTCACAGTTGATTAAGGAGTCTACCTAGTTTGGGGGTAAGCTACACTAGATAGGAGGACCATCATCAGAAAAGCTTGAGGGTAGGCCTACCAGGCTTTGGAGTGGACGTCCAGGTGAACAGTCTGCACAACCCGCTCCCTTAGCATCATTTTCCCACATATGGTCTTTCACAAAAAGAGTCCACAAAGTGTTTTGAACACACTTTAGTGTTATCAGTTATCTGTGTAGGGAAATGTTCATCCAGTTTAGTTGTCAAGCTTCAGAACTATCTATATTGGTAAGATGCAAAGCTAGCTACTAAGTTGGCCAACATTAGCCGTTCTCAGCTAACTGGTGGCTGTGTTAGCCTAGCTGGCTAGCTAACTAGCTAGCTAAGCTAACCAGCAACATTAACTTACATTTACATTACATTACATTTTAGTTATTTAGCAGACGCTCTTATCCAGAGCGACTTACAGTTAGTGAGTGCGTACATACAATCTTACCTTCAAATGTGGCCCGACATGAATTTTATTTTTCACCACCCATTGGCGTCGTAGTGTGGGTCTTTGGGGAAACGGTGAGAAGTTCATTCTCGGCATGACTCCCTCCTTTGTAGGAGTTACATCCAGGAACGCTGCAGTACAACATGTTTGACTGCGTTGCCTAGGTTTCTGGTCTCGGTTTCCCACCCTAGCCTAATTTTCGTGCAGCCGGAAGTGACGTGTCGTGTTGTGTGAATTAAGAGAATAGGACCAGATATTTTACAATGAGTCTTAGTAAGGGTTGGGCGGTATCCAGATTTTTTTATACGGTATAACCGGCAGTTAAGGGGCGCCATTTCGTTCCAAAAAAAAAAAAAACGTCCAATTACGCTAACAAAGTACTAGGGAATTCCCATAGCGGACGCTAGATAAATGCTAACAAGCAAAAGCAAACAAACTAATTGCAAGGACAGACAACCCAGCTCATAAAAGTTCTATAACTGTCTCAAAAGGCTACTCACAGTTTGTTGCACGCACAAAACAAATATTAGACAGTAGGGATCTTGATACAGGAGAGGATGGATCCATCTCTGATGTAACCAAGAAGCTTTATCTTGCAAGCTAGCCACTTACCTAGCAAGTTAGTAAACCAAATGCATAGCTGGAGCATTTACTTGGCAAATCCTAGATATTAAAAATCATTATGTTTCAAAATACCCCGGTACACGGTCTTCCGCCCAAACATAGTCTTGTTGCTTGGCCGGCAGAGTAGACATTGGTTTGTTGGTGAATGAGTCAATCATAGACTTGCCTTCTCCTTACGTGTGATGAGGGTGAAGGGGACGCGCTCCCGGTCGTGTTGGCCGTTGTTGTTGCTGGTGATCTGCTGGATGGGCTCGGCCATGTCTGTTTTGGTGAGAAAAACAAAGACTTGGTAAATCTTTATTGAGTTAAATCAAAAGGTTCAAGTAGGGTCGCCATAGTCCAGAAACTTCACAAGTTTTGGGAATTTTGCAAACCTAACTTCAAGTAGAACAAATGTCAGAGGTTGTATGCTTGTTGACAATGCTATAGTCCTACTAACTATAATATATAATATGCCATTTAGCAGACGCTTTTATCCAAAGCGACTTACAGTCATGCGTGCATACATTTTTTTTTTTTGTGTATGGGTGGTCCCGGGGATCGAACCCACTACCTTGGCGTTACAAGCGCCGTGCTCTACCAGCTGAGCTACAGAGGACCACATAACTAAACATGTTCTCTTACATTTCCTGACTTGGGCTCTATAAATTCAGAAAAACTGGTATTATCTGCCAACCTGTCTAATAGAGGTCAAATGTAGACCACTGTAGCTGCTACTAGTACCAGTCTAGGTTTCCTCTTGCAGTCTATAGACGATAGTGTTCAGTCTAAAGACTATACCTACTGTTACAGCTCTTCCAATAACTCACGACTAGCCAGCTTTGCCTGGCGATGGCGTGAGAAAGGCTTTGTCATGTCAGCCAGGGCACAGTGCCAGTTTACCACAGAGTGACGTGTATGAGCACTGACAGAGGGGAGGATGCCAAGCTGCCCAAGGCAGACATACACAGCCAACAGTATGCCATGAAATTACTCTACTGCACTTATTATTTTTTATATTTTTTTAATTTAACCAGGTAAGCCAGTTGAGAACAAGTTCTCATTTACAACTGCGACCTGGCCAAGATAAAGCAAAGCAGTGCAATAAAAACACACAGAGTTACATATGGGGTAAACAAAACATAAAGTCAAAAATACAACAGAAAATATATATACAGTGTGTGCGAATGTAGTAAGTGATGGAGGTATGGCAATAAATAAATAGGCCATAGTGCAAAAATAGTTACAATTTCGTAATTAACACTGGAATGATAGATGTGCAAAAGATGATGTACAAATAGAGATACTGGGGTGCAAATGAGCAAAATAAATACCAATATGGGGGTAGTTGGGTGGGCTAATTTCAGAATGGCTGTGTACAGGTGCAGTGATCGGTAAGCTGCTCTGACAACTGATGCTTAAAGTTAGTGAGGGAGATAAGAGTCTCCAGCTTCAGAGATTTTTGCAGTTCGTTCCAGTCATTTGCAGCAGAGAACTGGAAGGAATGGCGGCCAAATGAGGTGTTGGCTTTGGGGATGACCAGTGAGATATACCTGCTGGAGCGCAGACTTCGGGTGGGTGTTGCTATGGTGACCAGTGAGCTAAGATAAGACAGGGATTTGCCTAGCAGTGATTTATAGATGACCTGGAGCCAGTGGGTTTGGCGACAAACATGTAGTGAGGGCCAGCCAACAAGAGCATACAGGTCACAGTGGTGGGTAGTATATGGGGCTTTGGTGACAAAACGGATGGCACTGTGATAGACTACATCCAGTTTGCTGAGTAGAGTGTTGGAGGCTATTTTGTAAATGACATCGCCGAAGTCAAGGATCGGTAGGATAGTCAGTTTTACGAGGGCATGTTTGGCAGCATGAGTGAAGGAGGCTTTGTTGCGAAATAGGAAGCCGATTCTAGATCTAACTTTGGATTGGAGATTCCTAATGTGAGTCTGGAAGGAGAGTTTACAGTCTAACCAGACACCTAGGTATTTGTAGTTGTCCACATACTCTAGGTCAGACCCGCCGAGAGTAGTGATTCTAGTCGGGTGGGCGGGTGCAAGCAGCGTTCGGTTGAAGAGCATGCATTTAGTTTTACTAGTGTTTAAGAGCAGTTGGAGGCTACGGAAGGAGTGTTGTATGGCGTTGAAGCTCGTTGGAGGTTTGTTAACACAGTGTCCAATGAAGGGCCAGATGTATACAAAATTGTGTCGTCTGCGTAGAGGTGGATCTGAGAGTCACCAGCAGCAAGAGCGACATCATTGATATACACAGAGAATAGAGTCGGCCCAAGAATTGAACCCTGTGGCACACCCATAGAGACAGCTAGAGGTCCAGACAACAGGCCCCCCGATTTGACACATTGAACTCTATCTGAGAAGTAGTTGGTGAACCAGGCGAGGCAGTCATTAGAGAAACCAAGGCTATTTAGTCTGCCAATAAGAATGCGGTGGTTGAAAGAGTCGAAAGCCTTGGCCAGGTCGATGAAGACGGCTGCGGAGTACTGTCTTTTATCGATTGCGGTTATAATATCGTTTAGGACCTTGAGCGTGGCTGAGGTGCACCCATGACCAGCTCGGAAACCAGATTGCATAGCGGAGAAGGTACGGTGGGATTCAAAATGGTCGGTGATCTGTTTGTTAAACTTGGCTTTCAAATACTTTCGAAAGGCAGGGCAGGATGGATATAGGTCTGTAACAGTTTGGATCTAGAGTGTCACCCCCTTTGAAGAGGGGGATGATCGCGACACCTTTCCAATCACTGGGGATCTCAGACGTTACGAAAGAGAGGTTCTCTGTAAAACACAGCAAGCACCAACTTCACCTCTTCGATGTTAATAATGACAAATTCCATCGACTTTCCTCCCCGTTATAGCTGTCGTCAAGGGGCTGTGTTTTCTCTAGCCGCCCCACCTCTCCCATTCAGCAGGACTACTCCTAATGAATGTAGGCTATCCTTCCTTGGCATTGGATACCAACTGTGACTGGACAAGTATCGGTTCCGTCTCTGGCCCTGCTATTTAGTCGGTCACACCATGTCTGTTTATGGCTGCAGCAGGCATTACCCACACTGATACCAGATAGAGCCATCTTGAATGTATCAATAATAGCTATTAAAATACCCTGGAATCCAAGGATAGGAAACCATAGTACTCAGAATTTCCAACCTGTGAGGTGTGAATAATTAAAATTAGATTATTTCAATAGCATAGATTTTCAATCATATGAATGTCAGTATATTTTTCCATCAGTTTGGTTTACCCGAGCAGCCACAAGCATTGGAGTTGTAAAAGAAGCCGCTTTGTGGAGTTGGAGAGCAAGACACAAGTGAAGTGAGCTAAGCAGCCCTTTCTGTGGGCTAAGCGGCCCTTTCTGTGGGCTAAGCACAGCAAACTCTAAATCACTGATCAGGGGAGTGATTTGGAAATGGACTGACAGTGTATGTGTACACTGGTCACCCAGTAACTTTAGGAAACTTCTGACCAGCGTTGGACAGTTTAGCTAACATATACCTATTTATATTTTTTATAAATGAATTTTACGATTTATTTTTAGTATTTGTGTTTTTCTTTGTGTATTTTTTGTTTTTACACCTCGGTCGAGCTTCAATAATAATATATAATAATATATTATATATTATGCCATTTAGCAGACGCTTTTATCCAAAGCGACTTACAGTCATGCGTGCATAAATTTTTTTTGTGCATGGGTGGTCCCGGGGATCGAACCCACTACCTTGGCGTTACAAGCGCCGTGCTCTACCAGCTGAGCTACAGAGGACCACAACCTTCAACCCCTGGTATCATTTAAACACACATAAGACATGGAAAAATTTGTAGAATTGCGGGAAATTAGCTTTAAAACTGCAAAATGTTCTCTCCGCCAACAAGAGGGGTGTGAACAGTTTGGGGGGGGGGGGGGGGGGGTTTGTTACTACGCCGACAAATTACATTATCCATCTGGACCTTTGCCACCTAGGAAATGTGTGACCGGACCTTCTCAAATAGTACTGGAGTACCCCTGCACTATACTATCTTCAGTCTCAGTCACACTAGTCTGGGTCTAGGGCAGGCGTGTCAAACCTCTGGCACACGATGGGGTAAGAGACTAACTCAATATACTTTAAAAACGACTAAAACCAGAGATCTATTATTTACACGTCTTAAGGCATTCGGAACATTCTTGCAAAATGGAAGAATAGCCTACCAGATTTATCTGGGGATTAGCGTCATTGTTAAATGTCCAGACAAATGATTCAAGTGCTGTTTTGTGTACTTGTTGATGTTTGTTTGTCCAGTTGCTGAGTCGTACTAAGCTCTTGGGATCAGATCGGAATGTCAACATAGGAACTGGAACAATGGCTCCAGAGAAATCCACGTCTAGATGGCCCATTTTTATTATGGCTGACGTTTGTCTGTTTATGGAGCCTGAAGTTGAGGCATGCTACATGCACCCTTGTACACACGGGGCTGACGGTGCAATCAACACCTGAATATGCTACTCTCAGGGAGATTTTTAAATGCTTCTTATTTACTGTAAGAATTCTAACCAGCCTAACTGACTACAGCACAATACTGCGAATGATCCCTCTAAATCCCTATCAGATTAGGGCAATTCCAGTGTTGTACTAGGGTGGTAGTGACAATGGACAGTGTTTTACTAGGGTGGTAGTGACAATGGACACTTAAGGCGATGGTATTAAATTAACTAAACCTTGAACGTGCTTCACAGCCCACGAGAGAGAGGGAGGGAGGGTGAGCAAAGAGGTTTACCCACACAGTATTTTAAGACAGGATTTAATAGCCCAAGTTTTCCCTCAACCAGAGCAGGCTAAACTATAGCTAATCCGTTGAGTCAGAATGCCCCAACGGTTAGTCTGAGAAGAGAGAGGGAACAGGCGGGAGCCCAAGACCCAGTCTAACCAGAACTCATTAAGCAGCATACCATAGAACTTAATTTAGCAGTCCTCGTCACTCAATGTTCAGCTGCCTACACCTCCAACCAAAATAGCATGCATTTCTACCCTGTGGCTCTGCCACTAGCCTACTTCAACTCAACTACGGATTTGTCCAATAATAACCATATGTTTTACTAGGTTGTCCTACTGAACATACTAGACTGTAGTGATAACCTACGATCTAGATTGAACACCAGTGGTACTATTCAGGCTCCGAGGTTGACTTGACTCTGGGTGTGCCCTGCTGATCATACTGCCCTACTGGTCTGTGATGAAAACCTAGACTCTGCAGTGAACAAAAATATAAAAACGCAACCATTTCAAATATTTTACTGAGTTACAGTTCATTTAAGGAAATTAGTCAATTGAAATAAATAAATTAAGCCCTAATCTATGAATTACACGACTGGGAATACAGATCTGAATCTGTTGGTCACATACTTAAAATCAAAATAAAACAATAATAAATAAAAAAGGTAGGGGGCGTGGATCAGAAAATCTGTCAGTATCTGGTGTGACCATTTGCCTCTTACACATCTCCGTCGCATAGATTTGATCAGACTGTTCATTGTGGCCTGTGAATTCTTGTCCCACTCCTCTTCAATGGCTGTACAAAATTGCTGAATATTGGCAGGAACTGGAACACGCTGTCATACACAGGCGGCTTTTGGTAGAGAAATTAACATTCAATTCTCTGGCAACAGCTCTGGTGGACATTCCTGCAGTCAGCATGCCAATTGCACGCTCCCTCAAAACTTCAGACATCTGTGGCATTGTGTTGTGACAAAACTGCACATTTCAGAGTGTCCTATTGTCCCCAGCACATCTGTGTAATGATCATGCTGTTTAATCAGCTTCTTGATATACCACACCTGTCAGGTGGATGGATTATCTTGGCAAATGATAAATTCTCAGTAACAGGGATGTAAACAAATTTGTGCACAAAATTTGAGAGAAATAAGCTTTTTATGCATTTGGAAAATGTCTGGGATCTTTTATTTCAGCTCATGAAACATGGGACCAACACTTTACATGTTGCGTTTCAATTTTTTTGGTTCAGTTTAGCTTTAACACCATTAGTACTAGTCAGGCTCAGAGGTTGAGACTTGACTCTGGGGACAGCTGCATAGACAACCCAGTCTGCGTGTACCGTTTCAGTCCTCTGTTGTTGCTGCTGCTGGCCGCCCGATGCACACCCAGTCTGCATTCCAGAGGCCCTAGAAGTAGTTCAGGTGCAACTTGCCTCCATTTCCATTCTGCACAGGGCAGAAGCATTCTGGGTGCAAATCTGGTCGCAGTTCAACCAGCCGGCCGTCCTGACTGTGTGCAACAGGAGCTCTATCCCTTTGACTGTACGTACATTCAGTCCGCTGCAATCTGCATTCTAGCGTTAGGGGTAATTGGCTCACTCAGTGTTGCCTCATGTTAACCTCGGGCAGGGGCTTTAAATTCAGGCCAAAATATTCACCTTCTCCATCATTTTTCAGCCATTACTGTATTCTGGAATTTATAGGCTATAATTTTCCCCCAGGGGTAGGGTAGGAAGAAGTTATGCCATTTACAGAGTCTGAAACATTGCTTTCAATATTTTGTTCTTTACTTAGGGGTAAGTTCAACATTTCAATTGTTTTACTTTTAGTTAGTTAGTGTTCTAAGTACAGCTGTGGCGATACCAGTATCGCAATATTTTTTTCCATGGCAGAAATTAAAACACGAAGCAGAATCACCCTTTGGTCCTTTAAAAACCTGCTGCATGTAAAATATTGTGTGCTATAGCTTGGAAAATAAATACATGTGACTCTGGATGACAACATAATGTTTTGTTTCCAACATTAGGGGTTGTTTTCCTAAAGAAGTGAAATCCGCTTCGTGTTTTGTTTTCTTGCCACGATACTAACGAGTATCGCGATACTGGTATCATTCCGGCCCTAGTTCTAAGTACCATAATCCATTCATTCATTTATAGTAACCAAGGCTCCCCATGTAATGGGTCCAAATCTACCCTTGCATTCTAGTTTGATTGGTTTTCCTCTAATCTCTCGTGGACGATGCACGTAACATAACTGGCATCGGTCAACAGACTGGGATGCGAACGACAACTTGTTTGGATGTGCAGATTTTTCCTCACTAATCATTTTTGACAAGTCACGATTTCTCAGGTGTCAGCATCCAGTCCTTCTACTACATTTTTTTGTGTGGAAGGTTAGTTAGACTGGTACCCAGGCTACCTCTTCTAGCCACATGGTGAAAATTATCAGAGGTATAAACGGGGCTTTAAAAAGGTGCAATATGCAGAAATTGCTCTGCCTTTTCCCCTGTTACAAAAATTGTAACGTTCACCTAATTTCATGTGACAAAACAAGCAATGTATAGTGTGTTGATAATCATTGTACCATCTAAACCGCTGTGAATTATATTTTCAATAACCAAAAATATTGTATTTTCAGCTTGTGTACAAAACCGAATGTAAAAAGATACAAAAACTAAACGGGAAGCATAGAATAGTGCACACAGAACAGATCTACCGCTTCTTAGACTGGCTTTCGATGAAAATGACAGATCTATAACTCACCCAAAAAGGTACATATTGCAGCTAAGTGACATCACAGTCATGTTACTGCTACAAGCAGCACTTGTATCTTAGTAGGCTACAAATACATGCAGACCCTAATTTTCTCACGTCAGTCACTAAGACCATTCACAGTCTAGGATTTCCATTAGATGAAGTACATTATGTTAAATCAATTTGAGTATACATTGTGACTAACCAAGTTACAATAGTACTGTATCTGAGTGACTGTATACATGTATGTTTGCGCTCTTGATGTGAAAGTGTGTAATGTTTGCGCTCTTTATGTGAAAGTGTCTAATATTTGCGTTCTGTGTGTTACAACGTCTCCAGTTTCTTGGCTGGGGTACAGCAAATCACCCACAACGCACTGTAGCAGTTTGTTTTGACAGCCGTCAACATTGACCGCCAGTGTAAAAAGTGTCGACAACGGTTTAAGGGTTTCAATAGTCACTGGATGTCTATTTTTGAATCAAGTATACTTTATTTGTGTGAGCGAATGACAATGTCAGGCACGTTGATGACCACGACTACCTGAATAGTTATAGTTTGAACTGGTTGGCTGATCTGATCTGATCTCCCTCGCAGAAAACTAGGGCAATCAATGAAACAGGAAATAAAAACAAAGTAGCCAACATTGCACTTTGTTGTCACAATCAGTGTGAACCGTTTTGTTTATACTGTCTATACAACGTCACAAGCGAATTGCCCATTCAAAACCCGTATTACTTTCTCAATTCGAACTGTAGTGTGTGCGCTTAATCCCAAATGCTTTACCTCTAGGCACTTCCACTTGGTGTCCGCGTGCGGCGTCCTGCCAGTAGCGCAGCAATCTGTCTTGCTGCTCTTCGTCTTCCATCGTCTCACCCTCCTCTTCCAGACTCCCAGTGCCCGAATCTGACAGCTGGTCTTCCGAAAAAGATTCCAGGTCCTCTAGCGTGATCATCCCATATGAGGAATCACCGCCTCCACCACCAACGATACCGTCGAGTCCACCACCGCCATTCATACGACAATTACCTGGCTCCATTCTCCACTCTTGGAACAGCTATCTAGATATAAAAGTATTCCAAAGCAAATGTGTACAGTAGGACTACTATTGTGTCTAAAGAAAGACCGCTTTTGGTGGTAGATCCGAGCGCGTTACAGTCGCAGTTGATGCGGTAAATTCGGACCCAAGGAAAAATCCGAATTTAGGAAAACTTCAGGGCCATTTTTGCTCTAATCTTGGCGTTTATTCCGACGCATTAAGCCATGTTGTTTTCTTTACAGAGCTGTGCAACCTATATTCTATTTACAGATACCACTTCAAACCTGTTCTATTGCTTTTGACTCGTCGAAGACGGCAAAACAAATACCTTGCATGTCCTTACGCGACGCATTCTGTGGACTGGTGAACTTGATGTATATAAGAGATGACGGACACCACGTGACACCTGGCCACTCCTCCCACTGCAAGACCGGATGCGAACTTTCCTTTCATAGGATAGCGGAGGAAAAGTCATTATTATCCGTCGGATGATTGGTTGAGCCTTATTGGGGGCGTGACATCACTCCGAGGCTTTACCAAAACAAAACAAAACAATGGCGGACAATTTCTCTTCCTCGGACTTCCTTGCCATGTTCGTGTATTTCTTACAATTAGCCGATTTTGAAAAAGATATCGCTGGAGAAAATGTATTTATTGGTCGCGGATAGCGGGTTTTTGGGCTACTTCTAAATTGTACGGCGGCCGCCATGGCATTTCTCTTTAAAAAAAAAAAAAACTGTGACCTGCTGCTGCTGACTATCAGTCAGTGAGGCAGGCTGTTGCTGAGTGAGTAGTGGGGAGGGTTGTGTGTGTGTTCAGCGAGCACTGCAGCATGCAGTTTAGTCCACGATTGGCTGAGTCACGTGAGTGAGAGGAGACAGAGCAGCACACGCGAACGTCATGAATACTTTTTACCAGTTGTAGGTTGGCTATTGTAGGTTGGCTATTTAACTTCTCATTATGCACGAGTGTAAATTTGAAATGGAAGTTGTGGAACTCCCTCACGTGCTTCTGGTATGGGGTTAAAGTCCTCAATGAAACAGACATTAAATGTGGAGAATGATGTATTTTCATCTGTTGGCCATCAAGTAGCCTATTAATTTATATGCCATTGTAGGCTACTGTAGGTTACCATTTTATACAATAAATATGTTGAAATGACTATATCACTGGAGTCATTGCAAATGAATTTGTGCCACTTGTGTAGCCTACCCGAAGCTGGCAAACAGATTTAATAAATAGCCTATAACTTAATTGTATTGTTGTTGTAGCCTTGTGTTATTATGCTATTATTAATGGCCATGTTTAGTTAATTAAATTGGAAGTTATCAAAGCTCTATCGCAATTGCCGATCAGTTGTTAGAAGGCATTAGATTGACGTAACAGTCAGTCAGATTAGGTTACAGGTTTAAAAAAATACACAAATAAACACTGGCTGTTGTCGACAAGCATAGTTCATATACATATTATTAATATATAATTCAGTGATTGAAATTACAACCCTATCCTCTGTAGCCAATTCCAGCGGGCTATTGGGAAACATAAACACGTTTTACCTCGAAATCACCAAGCTATTCATGTTGAATAAATTAGTCTGTTAATTTGAACTAAGCAAGCTGCTAAATTGTTCAGTTTACATCTTGCCTAGGCTACTGTAGACTGCTAGGCCTATTCGGAAATAAGATATAGGCCTATCAGGGGCTATAGGCTACCTGCATCTATGTGGTCCTCTGTAGCTCAGCTGGTAGAGCACGGCGCTTGTAACGCCAAGGTAGTGGGTTCGATCCCCGGGACCACCCCATACACAAAAATGTATGCACGCATGACTGTAAGTCGCTTTGGATAAAAGCGTCTGCTAAATGGCATATTATTATTATCTATCTAAGCCAGTCCTTCTCAAATAGTGGGGCGCGGGGCGATGCCAGGGGGGGCGCGTGTGACCCCGGGGAACATGCTTTTTTTTTGCCGCAGGGAGTAGGTTTTTTTTTGCACTGAACAAGAGCACACAGCACAGAGCAGGATATATGAAGTGCAGAGAACAAACCCTTAAGAGACACCATGGAAAAATATTTAACAGGGATGAAAAGAAAGGCGGAGAGAGACGGTGATAATGAGACAAAGTCTCCCGAAAGCTAAGACGAGGAAATATGAAGAAGCGTATGTAGCGCTTGGCTTCACTGCGGTGGGAGACGAGGAATCAGCGCAAATTGTTTTATTCATTTTTGTTTTATAGGTCAAAGTGTTTCATATATTGTGCTCCTGAGTTAATGTTGCTAATCAATTTGAATTTATTATTATTTATTGATTATATTTAATTTTATTTTTCAGTATTAAATGGTCAAAAAATGTTTACAGTTTAAATAAGGGTTGCATTTTTTTTAAATTTCAGGCAAATTGATGCACTTTAAGTATTTTCTGTTACAATGTTAATAAAGTTATTATTTGTTGTAAGTTGATCTATATTTCTTTCTTTTTTATTTTCTTTAATGTAAATAAGGATACAATGTTATGCAGAGGTGTACATATAACAATTTTATAGACAAATGATACTATTTACAGTCGCGGCGGAGAGTTGGGGGGCGCGAAATGTTTACTTCTTCCTAGGGGGGGCGTAACAGAAAATAATTGAGAAGCACTGATCTAAGCAAACAATGGCAAAGTTGAATTACAATCATAAACCCATATTTTAGTCTCTAGCCTATTGAAATGACAAGTCAATCTCGCAAATGGGTCATTTATAACAGTTTGTAGTCTTAACATCTGACACATAATAACGGCACAATTGCCAGAAAATATCCTAACATTAGTTTTTTTTAAGTTCGTCCAAGTGTTTCTTGCTCAGAGATTTCGAGATCCTCTGTCCAACTTTAATCACTCAAACTCTCCTATTGGATTTATCTATAGGTATGCACATGCGCAAATGGGATTTATAATTATAAACTGGCTTCGAGCCCTGAATGCTGATTGGCTGAAAGCCGTGGTATATCAGACTGCATACCATGGGTATGATAAAAAATATACTTTTTACTGTTATAATTACGTTGGTAACCAGTTTATAATAGAAATAAATAAACAATATTGTATAAATGTGTTAACTGCTCTTTTGTTGTGAAAAACAACATTTGGGATACTTTTCAGGCATTTTGAACGGGTTTTGAGTGGTCAATGGTCTTGAAATTTGAGCTGAACCTGGCAACCCTGCCCTCGGATCTAAAACTTGACTGTGGTTGTGGTAACCTTAAAATCAGTATAACCACCAACTTCAATGACAGTTATCTTTAAATGAATATGCATAGCTATCTAATATTCCCGCACCCTAATAACATTCTCGCCGATGAGGGCTTGTTAGCTAACTATACAGGGTTTTGTAACCTCAACCGTTTTCTTATAAAACTAACGTTTGCTAGACCGCGTCTACTCGGGAGCTCATGGGCACATACTAGACATGTCACATAGGCTTCAGGAGCCAGCTGGTTAGATATGATTCCACCATGGGCAACTAGTTCGTTTTCACCTAAATATGTTCAACTCATAAGCTAGTTTATCCAGTGATCACCACATTTAGAAGGATAGCTACTGACTGAAATGTAGCGTGTTGGCTTACACTGTCACTGGCCAGGCAGTAGCCAACGAGCTAGCTAACAGTTAGCTAATCGTGGTCGCCGAACTACGCCGCTAGCTAGACTAGGGAGCTCATGAGCTACAATAGCCAACTGGTTAGACATGATAACCCCATGGGCAACAATAATTACTGCCAACTAGTTCGTTTTCAGACATAAATGTTTAACTCATAGTTCATTTATCCACTGACAACTGCATTTAGGAGGCTAGCTAAATTACTGAAATGTATCTAGCTAGCTAATCGTGGATTTCCAATTTTTTATTTGATACATTTAGGTCAATTTGCTCATTTCAAGCAACAGAAAGTTTGTGTAAAGGTAAAAGCGCATCGGTGTGACATCACACAACCAAGAAGGCTCAACCAATCACCGACAACTCCTGAATATGAATAACTTTGCCTCGGGCTATCCTACGAAAGGAAATTTCGCAGACGGGATAAATGCTCAAGTTCATTCACCTGAACATCTTTGCCTGAATTCAAATGTTGTGCTTTCCCTTTGTTATTATCAATTTCAATTGTTTTAAATCAGGTATACAGCAAATGAGGTACAAATGTTTTGCACATAAATCAGAGCCGGATGGTGTTCGTTTTCAGCAACTGGGAGAAGTGCGGCCCCTAGTGTATATCTGATTTTCCAACCCAGTAGGGCCTGACTCGTAAAAGAGTAGGCCTACTTGTATTGTTGCAGGTGATTGTTAATGTTAATAGTGGATAATATCATGAAATTCTCCATGTTCTCATGGTAATATAAGGATAACTTCTGTTTCAAAATGAACTCACAAATTATATGCTTTCAACATAGATAAAAGGCAGAACTTCACTCCAAATTATCTTGCACATCTTCGGCCAGAAATGCTTATCATGAAGGTATTCTATTAAATCCATTGAGTATGGGAGATCGGAAGGGACAGGGTTATTATAGAGTGATGGAGAATATGCTGACATGACTTTGAGCATTACTGTAATGGAGGACAGTGTTTGGGTGTTGTGTGCTATCGCTCATTCGTGCCACTGTCAATGACAGTCTGTCATGAGCGAGAAAGCACAGGAAAAATTCAGGATTTGCACCCGTCGCAGCTTTGCCTGCCACCATGCTGCAGGCCCCATTAAGCACGTAGGGAACGTAGGGAGGAGGACATTATATAATAATCTGCTCTGTAGTGTGACACATAGGGTACACTTAATAGGACCCATGTCTGCCACCTTGCTGGAGTCCACCCTTCAGCGCGGTGCACAGAGCATGAGAGAGAACTGGGTCAATGTTTCAACATAGAGGGGGATAACATTATGGTTGAAAACAGACCTGCAGTCAACAAGACGTGACGGGTGTCTCATTGGTTTAGCACTAGCAATTTGCCTGTTGTGATTCATGGTAGTTTCAAAATCAGTCTACTAGACCGGCAGGCCAGTGCCCAAAATCCTCAAATTCCATCTTTGTTTATGAGGCCACATATTGTTTAGCCTAGATATAAAGACACATTGGCATTGAATTGTCTTTTGTTTGGAATTCTCCGTAATGACAATTATGTCAACCAGCTGGTCAGTCACGGTGGTCATCTGGGATCACTTGGCCCCAAGTAGGGCTGCAATCCCGAAACAGTTGATTTATTATTGTCAAGTGAAGCCCATTGACCTCGTTCCTGCTTTTCGCAGAATCTGCAATGATGTCACTGTCGAGGATCATCTCCTCTACCCCGGGCCATGGCCCAGATCCTGTGCATCAGCATCCATTGTAGACATGCAGCAGAGTGTGTAGGCACTCTGGCTCCCCTGTATATAAATAGCTATGGAGAAGAAGCCACGGGCCACTCGATTGGCTCCCACGTCACCTAACTCCATGCTTGTTCAGCCAATGAGGAGAGAGCTCCTTCACTGAGCCTGCT